ATATAGAATTACAATTAGTATTTTAATACTAGTTTTAATACATTCAGAATGAGACAAGTAAACATATCTAATATTAATTTTATCTAATATAATAATATTTTCTATTAAAATTTTTAGGTCTGAATTAAAAATATAGTAATCATAAAAAATTTCAAAATTAATTAAAAGAGATCTCATTTATTGAATTAAGAGAAAAGAAAATGAATCGCTTTTTTTATTTACAACACGTTTTACATACATATAACAAATTTAATGTTGTATATATCAAAAAATTAGCATTACGAGTAAAAAATTTGATATCAACATAATTGTGATATCACAAGTTCTAAATCGTATTATACAATTAAATATTTGATGTATGTGATAATTATTTAGCTTTACCATTTCTTTAAAATTGTATTGATATATGCTTGATTATTGCAATTTTCACTTTTATTTGTTGGACACGAATAAATCTTGGATTCCTCCGAGACATATGCATAATAAGCTTCGATGAGGCATACTTCCTCATACAGATCTTCCATCGACATTTCTATGTTGCTCGCGCATTCATTCAGTAACCATCGAAAACTCCTTGGCAGCATTTTCTCCAATATTTCAAAATTTTTTGATTTCACACGACTAAAATTACAATGATACATCCAATAATCTTTAAACGGTTTAAACAATTTAAGAATATTTAATCTTTTATCCATAATAGATTCATCGATAACCGAATCAAGTTTGATTTTATTACAAGTTTCTTTCTTGGATTGATCATTCATGCCATGTTCATTTTCAAATTTGATAAAATTATCAAAAATGGATGCGTTGGCACTCAAGTTTAATATATCGGACACCTCTGGTAACATATTTTCAATTCCAGAAATATCTGTTGAAATAAATTCAGTTTGCATATCATCTTTACTTAGACTTTTTTTTTCCATATTGAGAGAAGTATCTGTTTGTTTAACAAATTTACCAGATGAATTTCGCACAAGTTTGCGCTTTTGTTTCTTCGGTTGGCTTGAATTTATCAATATAGCTTTTTTTTCTGTACTTGAGAGATTTATATTGTATGCTTTACAAAACTTGGATAACGATAATATCGTTTGTTGAGGAACAATATTTTGTAGACATGCATCATCCTTATTTTCATTATCATCCTGACTTTCGTCATCTAGATATCTATTTGGAATTGATAATTTACCATCTGGGAGAATTTCATGAAATATAAATTCATTGGTTGCGGATGCTTTCGGAGGCGCTTTCATATGTATGATTGTATCATCATAATATTGCTTCTTTTTTACATCAATTTTAAATTGACAGGGTATCTTCTTAAGTAGATAATCAATAAAATTTTCTTTTCTATCGATGCATTTCTTATCATCTTCCATAAAATCTTCTATCGTAATTTCATCTTTCAAATCTTTTATACTGGCGATTTTTGTTTGCTCGAAAACTGGTACTATTTTTTCAATAAAATGTAAATTCGAATCAATAAACTCTACTTGAATGTCGTAATGCGAAGTCAATTTGATACTAAAATGATAAAAAAAGACAATCGATTACTCATCTCATAATTTTTATGACCGGTAAGTTGTAAATCTTACAATATTATCTACAATATTACTTACCCTTTTGATTTTCTCAAGTATCCAATTTTTGTAGACGAAAAATCATTTCGGAGCATACTGGGAAGATCGTATAGTGGATGCTCCAATAATTGTTGAAGATACGAATGATTTGGCGTTAATGTTGGAGAAAAATAGTTTACTTCATTCAATGGCGGAGCAATATAACTTGCTTTGGTAATACACTGTTTCATTGCGTAAACAAGTTCATTTGATATCAAATGTTTACGTATAACTATCTCAGGTTCCTCTTTGTCTATTTTAGAATCAACAGACTCCAAAAATTTAATATATAAACTATTAACATCTGGTATGTTTGGATTGTATTTTAACTTGGTAGGATAGTGCGCATTAATTAAGATTGTTCTTCTACATTCGATATATTTTTGCCACTCCCGAAAACTGAATAGTTTTGTATCACAGATACCTTCGTCGTTAATTGCACTGAAAAAAGAAGAGATGTATTATATCAATAAGGAAGAAACGATAAAGTATACATAATAATAATGTAAAAAATTATACAAGAAAATCGAGACATTGCAATGTAATATTATTTACAAAAGGATAGCTGCAATTGCATGGAAGACGTTTCCGATATTCAAAATATTTTTCTATGTTTTTTTCACCTAAAGCTGCACCGAAAGTCACACAGTCATTCATAATTACAGTGTATGGCATTTTATGCGAGGTAAAATATATGTCCCATTCCCCAGATTTCTTAAATACAACACCCCCAAAAGTTTGATTATATCTAGTTGATATATAATCTAGATTTTTCTTCAAAGCTTTTCTTAGGGAGCATCCTTCTTCAATATCATCCGCAATAACTCTTGATAAACTATGTTTCATAATAGATTCTCCATGACCTGTTAGAGAACATCCTACATTTCGATTAGCATATGTGCTACAACCTAACACAGAGGAGTCGCCCACACTACCCATTAATTTTTTGTTTAAACCACCACTTGTGACACCTGCAGCAATAGCATATCCGTCATAAGCTATACAACCAATGGTGCTCCCGCTATCTATAGATAAAAATTGCATCAAAATCATGCATGTATCGGTAATATTTTCCTTATAAGAGTAGAAGAAACATAAAAATAATAATATAAAAATATTTTCTGAAATATCATATCTACAATTTACTTCCTAATATGTTCAATAACTGGTGATCTTCGATATCCAAATTAATATCAGAACTGCCTATTTCTTGCGATTTATTGTAAGCTAAATGTGCCATAGGTGCTGTCATATTTCCTTTTGATAGCCAATTTAATTTTGCAAGTCTTGTTAATTTTCTTGCACCTTCTCCTACTACGATAGAGTTGGGAAAATTATCCAAAACATATCTGGCAAGAGATATTGGATGCTCTATGTCTGATATTGCAGCTACAGATCCACATTCTGATTTGAAACCATCTACTATGCTCGCATCCATTTGTACCTCTCCTATTTTATGCAACATGATATGCTAATAATTTTTTATTATATGGATTTTAACGCAATTACTATTTTTATATTACATATATTCTTATTATACCTATATTATTTAAAACCGATCCATAACCACAATTAAAGAATTCATCGCATTCTAACCACCATAATGCAATTTCTACAGCTTGTACAGAATTTGCACCATCTAACAAACTTTGATATCCAATGGATGCTGCATTTTTACAACTCACTGTTTTTTCAATAATTATCGTATCGTGAAAATTTCCAACATCACCATGTACAAGTATACATGGAGTATTGAAATTTTCACATTGACACTGCATTATATTCAAATAATTATATATATTTAAATATCAAATTAGTAGACGACAAATTTTCACATCAAGTCTATATACTATTGCTATTAATTTAATACAGATAATTTGATAGATTATTTGACAGATAACCAATTATTTTTATGTGTAATATGTTGTCAGGCAAGTCACTTTTCACGCATGAGTATTCAATGTGACATCAACGCTATGTCAAATTTAGAAAGGTTCTGCTATTGTAACATTTCCATGAAAACTGTCTCACTTTCTTGAATAATCAATAACGATTATAAAGCGCTGTAGAAATTTTAAGAAAACCATAAATCCTCATTACTTGCCTTAAACATCACTTATATATGCCGTAAATTATTAACTTATGTCAAAAGCTATAAGAATTCATTCGAATATGAAGAAAAAAATCGACTTCATATTAGATTGTGATTGGTTAATTTCTTATATAGTTTACGACATAAGTTAACAGTATATATAAATGATTGCGTTCAGCATCATTGAGAAAACTAATCAATTAGCGATTAGTAATTCTTTAATATGATTGGTTCCTACATTTAAATCCAGCCAAGAAATAAAGACAAAAACCAATCATATTAAAGAATCACTAAGCGAACTGATTAGTTTCCTCTGCTGAACGCGATCATTGTCTACGTTCAACGGACGCAACAGTTGAGTGAACGTTTGTTATTGGTGTATTCTTTTAGCTCATCCAGAATTTTAAATTTAGAAGAATACATCAATAGCAAGCGCTCATTCAACCGTTATATCTGACAACTGAATATGCCCTTTGATCCTTTAGGATTTCACCAACTCTAACTTGATTGACTGATTGTTACATTGGAACTGACTAATTGCATTTACTGTTCAGCAGAATTGACCAATTACAGTTGACTCTTAATCGATTAAGTTAAGTGAAGGTTGGTAAGACTGATTCATAATCTTGCTGAATCCTATATATAGTTTTGGCGAAATCCGTCTAAATTTAGCGATACATGATAATGGAACTCACCCTTTATGTCTAGTGTTGTGTAAGCAATGAGCATAATTTATTATGTATGAATATGTATGTGATCCATTTAATGCTGCAAATGCTTCGTTGACCAGAAAAGAAAGACTTTTACAAATTGATCAGTCTAAGAATACTTGAAGCATTTGCAGTGTTAAATATTGCATCTTGTATCAAACACGCATTCTATTATAAAATTTAATTCCATTATTATACCAATTCCATTATACTAAAAAATTTTTTTACATACCTATTAATGTTTTCGGCAACATTACTAATTTTATTTTCTGTAATACCATCCAAACTCAATAATGTTTTCAGTATTACAATAATATACGCCATGGCACGACCTTCATAATTAGGGATACAGGATATTTTATCAAACGTCATTTTCGGAGAAGATAAACTTATTAATCGTTCAGCATACAATGATATACCTTCTGTAAATATCATAATAATACAAAACTAGCATTAAAATACATATAAATGTACTTGTATATATATATACGGATAATAAAAATCTTTAAATTCATATGGTTCATACTTGGTAGAGCTAATTCAATACAATATCGGTTAACAAGGGAATAAAGATCTGGACGAACTATTTTCGTGACTCCAAGAAATTTCGCCATTTGTCCAATAACTCTTCTCATACCCTTGTGTGTTATGTCCATAGCTCGTGATAAGAAAAAAATATCGTTTTTTGTTAAAGATACTTCAGGAGGTATCAAGCGATCTAATCTGTAATAAGATAAACGTCCTTCCCTCCCATATCTGCAAAAATTTATACATGTGAATATATATATGTGTGTGTGTGTGTGTGTGCGCGTGCGCGTGCGCGCGCGCGCGTCGTGTGTACATATATATATATATA